CAAGATCAGTATCAGTAACCAACTTACCACATCTGTCAGTTCTTTCAGTACCTGTGGATATAGTTCATCTATGTTTGGTGATGAGTAATTAAGGGCAAGCAGGTTCTCTTTTACTACCCTGCTCAGTCATCCTGGGTTTTAATTCTCTGTTCACTGGGTTTTGTTTTAGCCTTCTCCTCAGTTTGAAGAACTTTAGCATACAAATAAAAAGGAAAAGATGGAGCTGAACAACTTCACCCCTCCATTGTCTATTATTCATTCTTTCAGCATGCATTTATTGAGCACCTTCTATGTACCGGGCACTGTACCAAACACTCAGAGGACAGTGAATTTGTGCCTCCTTAGCTTGAGCACTATACCTCTCAGTTCAGCCTCAGATGGCTATAGCTTTATTGTACTTTGTACATTTGTATACTGTCATCTGGGGCTATGCATTTTATTGCTGAGTCTTCTGTAAATTATGGGTCCTTGATACTACCATTCTTCCTATATTGTGCCTGCTACCTTCTGTGGACTACAGCTTGCAGATTTATATGTGGACAGTTTTCTCCTTCCTGCTCCAATTTCAGGTTAAAACAATCTTGAATGGATTCATAAGGCTCAAGCAAACATATTCTTTCCAATCCTTGATAGGTGTCCTCAGGACAAGAATCCTTCATTCCTATCTTTTAAGGCATAGTCCAGAAATCCAAAATCTCTTCTCAAGACCCTATCTTCTTAACTAGCATATTCATTTTACAAACTTTCCTCTTTCAAATTTCATACATTCACCTGACAGCAGTAATGAAAATACCCCCTGTGTCCCTAAGATCTTCGATTCCTTGCCAAGGACTTCATAATCCCTAGTAATGTTTTCTTAGCTTCTTCCTGGCAGTTATCATTTGTCCCCCACATATACCACCAAGAGTTGAGTGGTGGTTGTCAAGTTTTAGAGGTTTGGGAAGGTTCTCTGAATCACCCTGGCTACATACACCAGGAAGTCATGACATGGAGTCATCCACCATCACTATTTTTCCCCTGGCCAGTCATCTCTTTCTGGCAGGCCCCTATGGGTCCCCATCATTCCTTGATGAACAGGAGATTGTTTCTTCCTCAAAGGTTATATACAGCTCCAATCTTTACAATACAGATTTTTACCTTAGGGACTCTCTGCATTTTTTCAAAAATGTTGATAACTTACTTTAGTATCACTGGTTTCCTTTGTAATCTTATGTATTTCATTTTATGAACTTACAAATAATATTCCTGGAAGGGGCCTCTAGGCTTTGCCAGAAAGCCAAGGGAGTCTAGGACACAAAAAAGGTAATGAACTGATCTACACAGCTCCCACTGTTCAATAGTTCTTTTTCTTCTGGGTCACATTCTTCCAATATACCTCTCCTCTCCTCCAACCTCATGACAAGTTAGAATTCTCTATTGTCTCTTCAGATTACTTTTCTTTTCAAAGCATTTTCCCCATTCTTTCAAGGAATGAATGTCATACTACCAGGTAAGCCAAAAAGTAGAAAAACATCCAAGTAGGGAGATCAATTTGCAGAAACAAATGGTGCCCTTTGAGACAGGTCACTGAAAACTCCTCTTGCCTTCTTGGTTTATTGGAAGCAAGACCCTCAATCTGTTTGGCTTTTTTTTTTTTTTTTGGTAGCTCTATGGACTAATTCTCATGAAGTGTCAGTTCACCATGACCCTTTCTTCATCTTTGGTAATTAGCAACGTCCTGCTGAGTTCTAATGAAAACATCCCCCAGCTGTCCCTTGCAAGACAAGCTTAAGTATAATACCATTTACCAGTTTACCTCTTTGGACCCCACCTTCCATCTTACTGCTTCTGGATTGAAGGATCTGGTGCTTCCTTCCAGTTTCTGAGAGGAGGGCAATCATTTACAGCTGGCTTCCTGCTGTTTCTCACAATATGAACTCCTTGTTCTCTGACACACTTTGTCTGACCATTTTGTCAATGTTTTATCTAAAATGCGGCCTCCAAAACTGGGCAAAATGCTCCAGCTGTGCTCTGACTGGGGCAGAGTACAACAGAATTATCATCATTCTGACTCTCACCCCCTACCCTCCCATCTGGGCAGTAACATGTCTGCATCCATTCAATCTAAAAAAAACCAAAAAACCAAAAAACAAAAAAACCATTAGCTGCTCTCATAAAATGTCCATTCTCCGGGTTTGTGATCCACCAAAACCCTAGGGTTTTGTTTATTTATTTGTTTGTTTTTTTAATAAACTTGTCTAACCATACCTTTTCCGCCCTTCCCTGGAAGAAGGATACAAGACAGGGCAGAGAAGAAGCCAGAGAAGAACAGAGATGGAGTCTGGAAAGAGTACTAAGCAGCAAAGCTAGGGGCATGAGTGTCAGAATGGAGAGCACACCTCACAGAATGGAATCTGGAATTTGGCCGCCAATGTTGGCCTTTTGCCTTAGGTCAATTCCATACAAAAAGCCCCTTCCCTGTTAGGCCCCAAATATCTTCTTCTAAGTTCAGTCTGTCCTCACCCTCCATTCACCTCCCTAGAGGCTTTGACTCTGAACTTCACAATCTTGAGGTTGGAAGGGTCCTTCAAAAAACCAAAACCAAAAAACCCCATAACAACCAAAAACCTCTACAATCTTCCCTACAAGAGGTCATCCACTATATTCTTAAACACCCTCAATAGCAGGGAACTCACTGCCTCAGCAAGTCCATTCCACTTTTTGACAGCTGTAATTATTAGGAAGTTTCTCTTTGCTTTGAGCTGAAATCTACCTCTCTGAGATGTCCCACTGCTCCTAGTGCTGTCTTCATAAGGTCAAGCAAAACAAGTCTGATGACTGTTCTTTCATATGACAACCCTCCAAAGACAGCTAGCTATCATATCCTTCCTTTTTAAAAGTTTTCTCTTTTGCAGGCTATTTCTGGTTCCTTCAACCAACCCTTATCTGGCATAGTTTTGGGGTACCCTTCACTGGATACTCTATAGTCAATCCATGTCCCTCCTAAAAGGTGGTACCCCAAAAACTAAGCACTGCATCAAGGTAGAGTCTGACTAGGGTAGAATACAAGCAAAATTATCCCTCCCTCACCCAAGACAACACGTCTCTTAACATAGCTACGGCCTACAAGAGAGTTAGCCTTTTTTTTTTTTTTTTGGCTGCCATGTTGACTTGGACTGAATCCGCAATTCTACTCTGCTCATGACTTGTCTGTCTCTGTACAGGTCAGTCCCCAAACCCCATTTACCATCCAGTGGGGTTAGGGCTGGGTCTCTCATTTGGTATATTTTAGTTTCTCCATCTCCCATCTATTTCCCTAGTGGTTATTCTTTCTTGAAAGTGGGTGTCATCTTTTCCTCTGGGTTTCTTCCCTTAAGGGATGGCTTCAGCCCCCTTTCTGTTGGCCCTTAGAGATTGTTTCCTTATTTGGAAAATGAAAGAGAGTTAGGCTGAATGCTTCTTAAGGTCCTTTACAATTCTGACATTCTGTGATTCTTCCCACCCCACTCTCACTGGTCCACCTTCTTTCTTTTCCAAGGTGGGCTCTTGCTCATGAGGCCACAAGGGACATATTCTCAGCCCAGTGCCTTATCCAGCCTACCTTGGATCCATAGTTCTATTCATTTTTCCAGCTTTGGTCTAATGACTCAACCACAAAAGGCAGTGTGGCTTGGGTGGTGTTGAGAACTTTGGATTTGTAGTCAAATGACCTAGGTTGGAATTCTAGCTCCAGCTCCCTGTGTGCCTTTTTTCCACCTGTTTCCTCATTTGTAAAACAGGAGGTGGGCCAGATGATTCCAATGCTCCTTTCCAATGATATCTACATCAAATCTATGATCCAATGATGTCTGGCCACTCTAAGGGGAGTGGCCCCCAGTCCCACCCCACAACATTCTCCCTATGGTTTCCAAAGAAGAACACTTGACATGGATTGTAAGAACAAGAGACAATTCCTGGGGAAAGTCCTTGGAATTAGAACCCAAAGTTCCTCACCTACAGAAAAGAGAAGGGGGAAGGTTCCTTACAATAGGAAGGAGGAATCGGGAGCACCTGCCCAAGGAACATCCATGGGGAGGGGGAAGGGTGAGGGAAACGACTCTTTGGGTGAAGGAGTAATTCCATCTAAGGTCTAGTGGAAACAGAGGACAAACCCTACCTACACTGAGCTTTGAGCCACCCTGTCTCTGACAATCTTCTCCTGGTCTACACTCATGTCCCTGATAATATTAGCAACAAAACCCTTAGAAACTCCTGAGGTGAGAAGGGCCTAAAGCATAGTGGGAGTGACCAGAGAGGCAGTACACAACTAAGAAGCAACTGAGGTGGAGGAGAAGAGATTCTTGGGAGGTATTTTCCTGGGGGTGAGGGGGGGTCTGAGGTGGGTCTCCTAGAGAGGGTCTTTGGGGATTCTGGGAGATCTCTAGGAGGCAGTTTCTGCAGAAGGGAGTGGTCTCTGTGGCTAGAGGAATCTTCCTGGGGTGAGGTGGGGGGTCTATGTGTATGTCTCTTTGGGAAGACCCACTCCACCTTCCTGTCCCTGCCTGCGCTCATTTATTTCTGTGTGTTTTTGATGTGTGGAAGTCTGTACCTTGCTGGGAACCTCCATGTGTGAAGGTTGAGTGGGGAGAAGTCTATATGTGTGTGGGGAAGTCTTGGCAGGGACAGCTCTAGGGTTGACTGATTCTATGTACAAAAGGTATAGAGGGTTCCAGGGTATCTCTGTGGGGTCCTAAGACTTTAAGAGTATTTCTGGGCTCTTTTGCAGAAATCACTGGAGGTCTATGTGTGTGATCTCGAAGGGAAGATATCTAGGAGGGGGTCTCTGACGGAAGTCACAACCTCAAATGGTTCATGGAGGGGGCTTCTTTACCTGCTTTTCATATGGTAGTTGGGACGGGGAGGGGTCTCTCTGTGTGTATGTGGGGGGATAATCTCTAGACAGAAATCTCCAGGTTTCTTTTGTGTGCATGTGTCTCTAGAACACAAGTTTCTGCCCACCTCTGTAGGGGCTCACTCCTCACCTTGCTTTCGGTGGAAGAGGGTCTGGTCTGGGTTTTGGAGGGGAAGAAGCCGCTGATTTCCGTAGAGGGTTGCAGAATCCTTTGGCTCAGCGGGATCTAGAAGATGGGGGGCACTGAGAGCTTGACGACAGCCCGCAGGCAAGACTTTCTCCCACCCCCGAGGACCTCATTCCCTCATCCAAAGTTCCTGACCCTTATGGCACTCATTCGGGGCTGCTTCCAGATCCTATGCACTCTGGGACTCTTTGTAGAGGTCGCTCCTTGCATGAATATGACATCTAAGTTCAGTCCCAACTTCTGACACATGGAGTTCTGGGCCACCGGCTGAGGGAGGGTCCCAGGGGGATATTGGGGGAGGACTCCTGAGAGGTACTAGGGAAGGGTCCCCTGGGAAGATGCTGGCAGAAAGTCCCCCCCCAGGGAGATGGTGAGGGAGGGTCCCTCTGGGATACTGTTGGAAGGACCATGGAGGATATCAGGAAAAATCCCCAAAAGTATACTGGGGAAGGACCAAGAGGAATACTGGGGGTGGCTTGTTAGATTATTGTAGGAGGGTCACACAAAGATATTAGGAAACATCGGGAAAGGGTGCTCTGGGAATACTGGGGAGGTGGAATAATGGGAACCTAAGGAAGTACCAGGAAGGGAATCACAGGCTATCTTGGGAGAGGGTCCTAGGGGTATATTAGGGGAAGGTGCCAGGAGATATTGGGAAAAGGTCTGCAGGAGGCATATTAGAGAACAGTACTGGAGAGATCTTGAAGGAGAATCCCAGGAAAGTTTTGCATAACTATCTTGCAGGGATATTGAGGGCAAAGTCCTGGGGAGATATGGTGGCAAAGTCCCAAGAGAATGTTAGATTAAGTAGAATTCATGTACACTGATGGCACATCCTAGGGAGAAAGTAGTTGAAGGGAGGAAAGTCCCAGAAGGGGGCTGGTTATATATCCTGCAGTATATTGGGAAATGGCCACCCAAGGACATTAGGAGAGGGTGCTAGGGACATATGGCAGCTGAGGGTAGGGGGCAGAGAAGAAACGTAAAAGATATTTGAGGAGACACCTAAGGAATACAGAGAGAGGGTCCTTGGAAGTACCGGTAGAAGGCCCCAAGTGATACTGGGGGAGGATCCCAGGAGGGATTGTGGATAATTGGCCTGCAGGTATTCATTGGGAAATCACATAAGGATACTGGGAAGAGGGAAGGGGGCCACTCCCTTAGGCCTATTAGTAGAGAGTGCTTAGGGGATATTGATGAGTGGATACAGAGAAAAAGATTTTTGGTGAGGGAATTTTTTTCCTAAGGGAATAGGGGGACATGGGGGGGGGAGGAGCTCAGGGTACAGTGGGATTGGGTTAAGGTTAGGGATGTTGAGAAAGGGTCCTGAGGAGGAATATTGAGAAATGGTCTTGGAGGGATATGGGAGAAAGGTCCTAGGAGGAAAATTGGGCAAAGTGTCCCACAAGTATATTGGGGGAGCGTCTTAGGAGAGATATTAGGGGAAGGCCCTGGAAGGTTGGATAATTAAGGGATATTGGATAATCATATAATTAATTAGACTGGATAAACAGATTAGATTAATTAGATTGGATAAACAGATAATTAATTAGATAATTAAGTATCCTCTTGGTATGTTGGGGAACAGTCACAGAAAGATATTAAGGAAGATTTCTGGGGTATATTAGGAAAAGGTGCTGAGGGGAAACTAGATGGTGGAAACTGGGAAGAGATGTTAGGAGAGAGCTCCAGGAGATACTGGGAGAAGGGTTATTAGAGAGAGGTAAGATCCCAGTTGTGTTCTATAAGTATTTGGGGGGGGGTCCCAGGAATATTGGGAGAGCATCCTAAGGAAAGATAGGGGTTAGGTCCCAGGAAAGTGTTGGAAGTAACTTGCATTTATAATGGGACTAGTCACAGAAGGATATTTGGAAAGGATCCTCTGGAGAAATTAGAAGAAGTTACTGGTGGATTATTTTAGGGTAGAAACAGGAGAGGGTCACCTAGGAATATTAGGTAACATATTGGTAGAGGATCCTAGGAGGGTACAAAGGGTAGAAATAAAGGGAAAAGCTATTGGGGGAGGAAACTAAGAAGAAATTAGAGAAAGATTCTGGGAATATACTAGAGAGGGGGAAAAGATATCACGGGATATTGAGGAAGGGGAAGGTCCTAGAAGGGATTGAGGAGGGGTAAAGGGGAGGATTCTCAGAACAGCATGGGACAGATATCCTGCAGTTTTATTGGGGGAGAGGGAATAATAAGAGGATATTAGGAAAGGGTACTTGGAAGATGTTTGGGCATGAGAATGGGAGAAAGTTATTGGGAGGATCTAGGGAGATTCTGGGGAAGGGGTCCCAGGAGATATTAAGAGAGGGCCCTATGGGTACAGTGGGGAAACATCTGAAGGAATATTGGAGGAGGTGTCCTAAGGAAGCATATTGGGGTGGTCCAGAAGAAATACCGGCTAAATGCCCTTTTCAGGCATATTGGGGAAGATCCTAGGGATATTAGGGGGCAAATCCCAGGAAGAAGGGTATTAGTGGTATCCTGCAACTATAGTGGGAGTCAATCAAGCAAAGGCCCATACATGGAAAGACTAAGGATGAGAGAACCAGGGGAACAATGGGAAAAGGTCCCTCTGCAGAAGTGGGAGAGGATCCCGGGAAGACATACTGGGGAAAGGTCCTGTTCATACTTTCTTGGGAAGTTGTGGAAGGGGATTAAATCTTGGGGGTATAATGGAGAACCATCTAAGAGGAAGTTAAGGGAAGTTTTTGAAGAGGCTTATTGGGGAAGGGATCCAAGAGGGATATTGGGTTTTGTCCTTCATGTACAATGAAGGGGTGTCCTCTAGATATACTAGGGACCTGGAGAGGAGGAGGAGAGTGTTTCCAGGAGGGTGTTGAGAAAGAGTCTTGAAGGTATATTAGTGGAGAGTCACACAAGGATATTTAGGGAACCCGCAAAAGTATTAGGAGAGGATACTGGGAACAGATAAAAGCAAAAAAGACATGGTAGACAAGGCTTATGGAAATATTAGGTAAAGAGACTGGTGGGAGAAAGTCCAAGGTTATATTGAAAAATCAAAGAGAAATTTATGGTAGGATCTTAGGGAAATATTGGCAGAGGGTATAGAAATAGATAGATAGGGGAGGGTCCAAGGAAGACACGGGGTTTTCTGGAGGTTAGGGAATTCTCACCGAGCTCAAAGGCTTTCTGTCCTCAGAGCCTGAACCAAAGGTGTTCAACGCCTCATCCTCCTCTTTGCTCTTTGGGAAGAGAAAAGATGAAAGAGATCATGAGTCTGAAGGCTCTAGCTTGGAGTTGGGAGATGTTTAAGAAGCTCAAGAATTTAGCTGGACTACATGGGGGCTCTGGGGCCCAAGCAGGGCAGAAACTCAAAACCGGGTGGTGGGGGGGGGGGGAATCTCAGTTTGGTGACTGGGAAAGGGGAAGAGAAATCTAAACCTGGTGGGGAATAGGAAAAAGAAATTTGAGCCGGGGGAGCAGGAAGAAGGGAAATTGAGCCTGGAGGAAGAATAGAATTGAGTTGGGGGAGAGAAAGAGAGAAACCTGAACCCAAGTTGGAATTGAAGAGAGGAGAGAAATGTGAGCCTTGAGGGGGAGAAATTTTAGGAGACAACTTGCGCCTGGAGAGAGAAAAACTAAACTTGAGAGGAGCAATTCTGAGTGGGGGGGGGGGAGAATCTAAGGGGGTTGGAGTGTTGGTAGTGAAGAAATCTGGCCCTGAAAGTAGGGGTGTGTGTGTGTGTCTGTGTGTGTGTGTGTGTGATAAACCTGAGAAGGGAGGAAACCTGAGTGAGTCTGACCCACTTGGATATCCTGTCAGTCCCAATACTATCACCTCTTATACCTCCTTATTTATAATATTTTTCATGTGGAGAACAGAGAGGGCTCAGAGCTGTGCCATTTAGTCATAAGCAACCTCATCAGGACCTGTTATCACTGCTCCCCAGCCTGAGAATGCTTTGTGCAATAGGCCCCAGCATCCACCCAACTCCCTGTAGGTGGGCAGACACCAACTCTCTCCCTCTACCTGCCCAAACCGTTGGGCTCCCCATCCCGACCAGCCTTCTCAGTGTTTTCAGTCACACTTGCTCACTCCACACTGCAATCATTCCCAATCCCATTACATTTTCACCAGCACCATTCTCACAAAATTGCAGGCAGCTTTATCTTTGGCTCAACTGTTCCTGCCTTTCAGCCCAAGGAATCCCCAGGGTCTCACAGGGGAAATTGGCCTCTTAGAAAGAAACCTGATAATCTGAGCTGATAGGAATATTCAGCCTGAGTTTGGAGCGCCCACATGTTTGTCTGGGAAGAATGTCACTAGGCACGGTAGGATGGAGGCGCAGGGGATGTCTCTGAGCTACGTACAGAGGAAGGGGAGCTTACCACATCATCCAGTTGGGAGCCATAGATGACCTGTAGGTAGTTGTGGAAGGCCTCCATACGAATCTGTGGGGTGAGGAGCATTTGGGTCAGGGGCTCCACTTGTCCCAAGGCCAGGCTCCGTACCTCCTCATCCCTGACAGCCAGCTTGGCACAGGCCTAAGGGAGTCAAAGCATACCTCTCAAACTGGGTCCAACCTTACCCCAAGTAGAAGCTTCAAGAGGGTCCTCATCCAACACTGCTCAATGGCATGCCTAAGGGAGGCAAAGGAACAGGGATGCACACTGACAGAGGCAAAAAGAGAGATAAAATCAGAGAAAGACACTCCCATATACAGGGATAGTCAGAAACAGGGAGAAATACAGGGACACACAAAAGGAAAGAACAGAGACAGAAAGATACCAAGGCACACAGGCAAGTCCAGGGCACGGCTATTGTATTGGGAGACTACTAGGTAAGGAGTTGGACCACGGAGGTCAACCCCCACCCCCACCCCATCTACCCTTTATTCCATTTCCCTCCCTTAAATACCTCATCTATCTCTCTTTGTCTGTTCTCTGCCTCCAGATACTCCTGCCTTATAACCTGCTTCATCCTGAACACAAGGACACATGGGATGAGAATAAAACACAAGACCCAGCCCTTTGTGGGACACCTATGAACCGCTAAGCACAGTCATGGCGGGGGGGAGGGAAAGAGGGCTGGAGTTTATATGGGGTGCTTGAGAAAGCGAGAGATCAGAGCTGGCTCTGTAGAGAAGGGAGGAACCCTATCCCCTCACCCATACAAGAACCAGCTGAAGGAACTGGGGATGTTAAGCCACTAGAAAAGAAGGCTTAGGGATGACAGGACTGCTTTCTTCAGGCATCTCGAGGATTGCTATGGGACACAGTAAGTCAATAAATAATGGGTAAATAGCTGAGTTGTGTATACAAAGCACTGTACACATGTAATCTCATTTGAAGAGATACCAGGCTTAATTTACCTGGCTACAGAAGGCAGAACTACAACTTGGAGAAAGGCAGATTTAGGTTTCATGCAGAGAAAATCAGCACAACACTCAAAAGCCTATAAGGAAGGGAACTGGCTGCCCCAAGAGCCTGTGGATTTCCTAAAACTGGCCTACGTGTCAGGGATGTTATAAGATGATTCCTACTGAGACATCAGAAATTATCTTCCCGTGCTGACAGTCTGTGCAGCCTGTGACAGCTCGTCTGCAGAGGCAGGGGGGGCTCAACTGAGAGTCTGGGAGACGCTGGGATCTGAGAGATCACATGGTCTGAGAGTTTTCAGACTGTGTCGGATGGGGGAGGGGATGAGTGACGACTGAAAGTTGAGAGTGGGAGGGTTTATGGAATTGATGGGACAAGTAGTAGGGTCTATGGGGCTTGGGTGTGGGGGTATTAAGAGTCTAGAAATCCATGGTAGCTATGGGGTCTAGAGCTATGAAAGGGAGAAAGGGTGAGTGCCCAAGAGATCTGTAGGGACAGAGGGTATGACAGATTGTGGGGTCTATAGATAGGAGTGGTCCATGAGGCTGGAGGAGTGTGAAAATCTGTTGGGCTGGGGGAGTCAGTGAACCTGTGTAGAATCTGAGGACTGATCCAATTATGGGGTCAGGCAAGGGCTAGGGTTAGGGTGGGGATAGAAGAAGGAAGGGTGTGTGTTGGGGGAGGATGGGGCTTGGTCTGACCGGACACTAGGGAGAGCCTGCAATCCTTTTAGCCTTTTCAGCTCTTCTGGGGTCAGCAGCTCCGGGTCTGTCAGTGGCAGGGATGGGTCATCCTTAGGGTTTGGCACTTTCCGACACAGAACCTGTAGGGTTTAAAGAAGACAATAGTGCGTGTGCTAGGTTTGGAAGCCCCATTCTCCTTACATCCTCCAAGCTGCACCCCCCCAATGTCTCCTTGGCTCCTTTTTTTGGGGAGGAGAATATCTGGGTTATACCAGGAGTCTGAGTCAGAGTTAAGCCCTTCCCACAACTTCTCGTATCATCTATAATCCAATTTTACTTGATAGATTAAGAAATTGAGGCTCAGAAAAGGAAAGGAATTTGTCCAAAATCACCCAGGTGCTTAAATAGCAGAGCCAGGGTTTTGAAGCTAGGGTCTCTGAATCCCAACCCAGTGCCAGCAGGTACCTTGACCAGATAAGATGTGGGCAAGTAGAGTTTGTGGGAGAGCAGGCGAAGGTGTGAGCCAAAGGAAAAGATCAGATCACCCTTGTCATTGCAGAAGGTTATGGCCTCTGGAGGCATGTTCAGATGCATTACCCTGGAGAGTAAGGGCAAGGAGGAGAGTGGGCAGGGAGGTGAAGTACTGAGTTTCATTCTACCTTTCTTCCAACCCAGCTCCTCTGCAGATAGGGGAGGCCCAAAGAGGGTTGGTGGACTCCACAGGTCCACTGGGCTCTGGATACACATATTCTACATCAGGGAGAGGGAACCTGTGTCCTCAAGGCCACATGTGGCTCTCTAAGGTGCTCAAGTGTTTGGATTCAGTCAAAGGGCCAAACTTGAGGACCTAGAGGGCCACATGTGGCCTCGAGGCCATAGGTTCCCCACCCCTGATCTAGGCCCTATCACATACCTGAGCAATTTATTGTCCTGAGTCCAGATTCTCACAGTGCAATCCAGGCTTGAGCAGGCATAAAGCTTCAGGTAAGGGCAACAGCACAAGCCTGAGAGTTGGGAGACAAGAAAAAGGGTGCTGGAACCAGTATGGCAGTCTCAGTCTAGTGAAAGGGGGCTCATTAGGGGACCAGGGATGCCTTTAGGGACCCTTCATGGGGAAAGTATGTGACCTGAAGCCCTCTTCAGGGACTGAGGAGTATGTGTCAGGTGCTCAGTGCAGGACCGTCACCGACTGCCACTGCTGACCTGTGATGTGGTCTGTGGGGTCATCCTGGGGGCCATGGTCATGGCGTATGTCATCGTTGTCAGCTGTCCCATACTGCACCAAGCTGTAGGTGGCACTGGAGGGGTCCTCAAAGGCCACAGTGACATGAGAACCCAGGGCACAAAGTGCCACAGCTGACTGGTAGCAGAAAAATGTCCGAAGCAAGGTCAGGCTCTCTTCTGAGTAGGGAAATATTCGCCACATCTTTACAGTCATATCTGTGCCTGCGCCCCAGGAAGAAGAGATGGAAATGTCAGGGAGCTTGCCTACTGGTGGACATAAGGATGCATGAGGGGCAGGACCCTGGGAAGAAGGGGTGGGGAGAGGATCACTGGGAGGGATGAGCGGAGGCTTCTGGGACAGGGCTGCCATGGGGTGAGACCAAGGAGTCTCTCAGAGCATGAGGGCAGGACCTTGAAGTCTTCTGGAGCTTGGGTCATCAGAGTAGCTGTTTTGATTCGGGATTATGCTAAGAAAGTGATGCTGACCCAAAGGTCCCACTGCTAAACACCTACCCCAAGCAGATCAATGACAGAAAGATCTAATATATAAAACAAAATATGTATAGAAGCACTTTCTTTCCCCAAAAAAGAGACACAAAGTAGATGCCCCTCAACTGCGAAATGGCTGAACAAATTGGAGAAAGGATGAATACAGAGCATGGGAATACTTGAAAGATCTGATACAAAGTGAACTAACAGAACCAGGAAAATATACACAATACCTAAATGGAAAGAAACACAAAGTGAATTCCAGGAAATTATAATGACCAAGTTTGGCCCCAAAGGAGAAATCAGACAATGAACCTCCCTCCCTTCCCTACAGAGGTGAGAGTCTCTGGGGGAAGGACACTATATATCACGTCAGACTTGCTTGATGTCGGTTAATTTTGCTGAACTTTTTAATTCTTTTTTTTGTTTTAAGGGATGGTTCTCTGGGATGGGGAGGAGAAAGGCATTAGGTAATTGGGTAATGAGACTATGACTAAAAAAAAATAAATAAATTAAAATTTAAAAAAAAAAAAGAGTGGCTACTTCAGAGGGACATGGGAAGCTGGACCAGAAAGGGGAAGGCAGGGGAAAGAACATGGGTAAGAAGGACCAGTGAATGAGGAAGAAATGGGAAATGTATGTGTAGAGGGTAGGGGGTGGGGTCAGAAAGGAGGAGGAATGGGATGGGGTCGGGACAGGTGAAGAGGGCATCAACAGAGAGGAAGGGGTGAAAGTCTGTTTGGAGAGGGAAGGGAAGGCTGGACCGAGGAAGGACTGAGCAGAGGGTGTGAAGGCTGGACAGGAAAAGAGGGCGAGGCTCGCTGACCTGAGGTCACCAGACTCTGCAGGCTTGAAGCAATGGTAGTCGTGGAGCCTGGGCCGTGGGCTTCTATGTGACAGAGCTTCCGGAAACACTGCCAATCCAGGACCGCGATCGTGCCGTTGGTGTAGCCTAACACTGGCAAGAACCTATGGTCCAGAGGATGGACGTCACTACCTCCCCCACACCCCGGGTTCTCCCGGCCCCCGCCCCTCCCCCACACTCCGAAGCCCGCGGTCTCTCCAGGGTCAGTGTGCGGACCTGTTCCTGTCTTCCCACGTGGTGCCCAGCCAGCTCTTCCTGCGGAGCTCCCCGCCACGATTCCGCACGCTTGCCCAAGAGCTATAGGCCCGCGTCGGGTCGGCGATGTGGCTAATCAGGTGGAGGCAGCAGGGCCGGGCGTCCGGCGGCTGAGGCTGTATGCGGCGGACCACGGGCATGGGGTAGCGAGCTGCGTTGGCGCGCAGCAAGACCCCTTCGAGGGTCAGCACCAGCAGGACCTCACGAGGCAAGCAATAGGCCGTGGCTGCAGCCATCTCTCCAGGCGCCAGCAGCAGCACCGAAATCATCCTTCCCGTGACTGCTGAGAAGATGCGCACCGTGCTGTCGGCGCATCTGACTACCATGCGCTGCGGCAGAACGTCGCGGTCTGGCTGCGGCGGCGGAGGTGCCAGTTCCAGGCCTTGCACACGGGAGCTGAGGGCCACTAGTGGGCGGTGGAGCTCGCGCACTACCCAGAGCTCCAGGTACGCCAAGCCCTGCACCAGCACAGGAGCACCGCGCCGGACTGGTGCCCAAAGACGGCACACGGTCTCGCTGTAGTTGCTAGGGGTACAGGGGGGCGGCATCTCATCCTCGTTCGCGATGTCCCGTCGCACCCCCGACAGGGTCTCTGAATGATTCCGAAGGGACACTTCGCCCACTTGCTGCGCTGTCTCCAGGTTCCAAGTGCGCAGAGTCATGTCCTGGGATGCCGACAGCACCAGCGCTGAGCCAGGCAACATAGTCAAAGCCGTCACTGGACCTGTGGGGCCGGGACACGGCACGTGTCACCAGAACCAGGGAACACACCTCAGGAGTTGAGGCAGGAGATACAGACCAGGGTTTGCAGACTGGGGCTACCTCATGGGAATGGGGCACGCGTTACGGGAAGAGGAGGAAGAACGACTGAAGTGGGAAACGGAAAGGCAAGTGAAAGCAAGGCAGGGCACAGGGCAAGTTGGCAGAGGGTTCCACGCTATGGGAGTGGGTGACATGTCAGAGGGCAGTGACTGGTACACGTGGAAGTATATCGAGGGGTGCTGCATCCTGACGGTGAATGGGGTGAATGGAAGGGATCGCAGACATCAGGAGGCCCCAGGGATCCTAGGTTACCGAATAGGGTCGATTGAGAGGAGACTTGTGGAATATAGAGAACTGGAGGGGAAGTCTGGAGACTGTATCCCCTTATTACCTGTGTGCCCCACAAAAACGCTGCGGATTTGCCAGTCAGCGTCCCACACCTTCACAGTGCTGTCTCGAGAGGCTGTTACCACAGCTTCTGCAGCTTCACAGTACACCACGTCCGAGATTATGCTAGGGAGGGAGCAGAGGGTTAAGCTAATCCAAGGCCCCTCTGCAAGACATGTCGTGTATGCCAGAAGATTGCTATATGGTCTCAGTGCCAGACCTTCGGCTTCCTACACTGCCCTCCCGGTAGGCTGTCCCATCCTCTACCCCTTTCCCTTGCTCCCTTCTCAGCGAATCTCAAAGCCCCCTTCCTTCCCTTCGCCCCCTTCCAGTCGATCCCTTCTGCCTCTCACGTTTTGTGCAGCTTCCGGCGCACATCAATGATCGAGCAGGTAGCTAGGTCATAAGTGAGCAGCTCGGCCCCGCAGGCAGCGAAGCAGCGAGGGAAGACCCCATGAGGTGCCACATCTAGAGCCATGCGGCTGACAGCACAGGGCTGTCCCTGGCTTGGGAACGCCGGAAGCGTAGCTGTCAGCACTAGACGCCGGCCACCACTTCGAAACTCCCATATTGACAGCCCGCCACCCTCCTGGCCAATGGCCACCATCCCCTTTCCAGGCAACAAAGCACAGCACGTGGGCAATCGAGACGGGTCCAAGAAGTTGCTGGACAGCAGTTGCAGGTTCTCATTCAGTACTACCATTCCTTGCGGCCCCCAACCTATAAAGCGACCTGGGTTCTGGCCCAGGTGCTGAAAACCCACGAGGGCCACGAGCCCTGTGAGGTTTACTGGAGCACAGGTGCGGCCACGGGCCCAGCCATCTTCAGCATGCAGATACAATTGGCCAGCACCATCCAGGAGCACCAAGCGTGAACTTTCCTCGTCTTGCGCCACTGCCAGCAGCCCCGCTGGCACCTCCAAGCGCCGCAGGGATTCCAGCCCGTGAGTCAAGTGCGCCACCTGCATCTCGGCGTGCTTCATCTGAAGAGTGAACAGGACTTGTGGTGAGCTGGAGCATCGTCTGCTGCACAGGCGCCGGAGTTGGGGTGAACAGCAAGACAGCTTCATATTGGGAAAAGGGATCAGGCTGTGCAAAGACCGCCCATGGGCATGTATTGGGGGAGGGCACTCATCAGGGGAATGCAGGGGGACACCGCAGGGGCGTTACAGGTAGGGGACAGGCATGCGGCGTCATAGATGGGACAGTCGCACAGTGGCGGAGACAGGAAGGGGGCCGGGTCCCTACCCTTTCCACTATGCGGTACAAGCCATCGCGCAACACTAGCCAGAGGCGGCGGGCCCGGGAGAAAGGCATGATACTCCACCACAGCTCGCTCGAGGAGAAGGAGCCCGTCGTCGTTGTGGTTACGTCCTCGACTTTTGGACAGGAATACCAAGGTCTATGGCAGGGATAACCTAGGATCCTCCCTGTCCCCTTTCTCCCGCCCCCCTAAACACCCGGCCCTAAAGATGAGAACATGAGGCTGGGGAAGAGCCTGCTTCCTCTGCCCTCAAGTCGAAGTAGGCACCTTGCTGGAGTGCCCCGACAGAAGTTTGGAAAGGCGGGGGTGAGGAGTTCTCAATTATGGGAAGTGGTTAGAAGGAAGGAAAGGCGGGAGCGAATGCCTACTTTCCCCAAAACGGGAAAGTAGAAGCAGAGGGCAGATCTGGAGTGACATCTTAGTGCTCTCCTATTCTAAAATCTTTTCAGATTCGGACACCTTTCGAAGCTCACCTGACTGAATCTGGCCACTGCCCTGGTTTTCAGCTTCCATCTCTTGAGGCGGCTCTTCCGCCATCTCCGGCTGATTCGTGTTGGAGTCGCTTTGACCTTTCGACTTGTCTGCCTCAGGCTTTTGTGGATCCATTGCGGCTCTGGGACCTGGGGTTGGGAGCTGTCGCTCGTCACTCCAGGTACAGCTCCCTCTCGCAGGATCAGCGCTGAGGGGCAGGGTCCCTCCTCTGCACCCCTAAGGGGACAGTGCCCCCCTACTGAAGTGCCTCCACGTAAGAGAGACGATGCCACCCTCCCGCATAACTGCACCCCACAGCAGAGTCACTCTTAAGCAGTTTTCGCTACCCTGGGAGAGTCCTGTGGCTACACTCCTCAGTACTACGTCTCCACAGTAGCGCCGCCCCAGATCTCCCCACCGCCAATAGCAGTGCCCCTGCCCAGAATGGACTCCTAAATCACGTCTGAGGACTTAATACCCCTCAGAGTAGCGCGCCCCACCCCCCAATTCCTCCAATGGCAAATTCTCCATAATAGGGACAGATCCTTCCCCATCACCCCACCTTTCTCATCCCTCCATTTCTCTCCGGGTAGGGAGACACCCTTAACTACACCCCTCAGGGCAGCACATGTCCCATAGCAGTACCCTATCTTGAAATGGGCCCCCAAACCACATCCGTCAGGATCGTCTCTCTTCACTGCTTCCAGAATTCTTCCTGTAACGGCACTCTCTCCTAGTTCAGACCTTCACATCTCACCCCACCGGTCTCTTCCGTAACAGGGCACCATCCCTCCGCACTGTCCTGGGACCCAGCCCCACACCAACACACCCCTTAGGATTTCGATCCCCCCTTCCACAAGTGCCACCACCCTAAGGACTGTGCCCGGCACTGTTGCACCCTCTTCCGTAACTCCTCCCACAGCAGTGTACAATCCTGGAGCAGACCCGGGTCATGTGTGACCGTAACCCTCAGGACAGCGTTTTTCCGGGTAGAGGCAAACCACTTGCCTACTTTACTCGCCCAATGGTCTCGCTTAAGCAAACGCCTCGATGTTTTTAGGCTTGATCCCCTCCCACTAGAATTCACCTACAGCTAGAGTCCAGTACCGGTCACTCCTACCGCTCCACCCTTGGCTGCTAGGAGACCCGGCTGAATCAGACCCCTCCCCCTTTCCTCTCCAAGCAAGAATTGCGCTCGAGGTTAGGAAACCTCCATCCAGGCACGAGGACACTATGCACCCAATCGGACTACTCTCCTGCGCTGTGTCGCCTTCATCCCTCGTTCTTACTACCTCCATCCCAGTTGGATCTAGATACTTCATTCCCCTCTCCCCTTAGCCCAGGCACTCAAAGCTAAGTCACAGAAACTTTATTGGAGACAAACACAGAGCTGCAGCAAAGTGACCCCTCAGTGCACACTGGCGGCTGCCCTTCAGGGCTGGACCGAGGTAAGAGGGGCCTGGGGCACGGGTCCCGTCCTACCCTGCCCTGGCACGACTAGGTGAAGGCTGTGCCCATTGTCCAGACCAGCTACCAGCAGGCCCAGAGTACATACAGCTCCCCACCTGCCCCCAGGGATTTGGGGTGGAGTGTGGTGGGGAAAAGAGGAGCTTATGCCCCTGTACAAAATATAAAAATACAATCTGGGAGCCAGAGGGAGCAGGTCAAAGCTAGCCCTGCCACCTCCAAGGACACGCACAGTCAGTGGGCCTCAATCCTTCCCCAAAAGTCCAGGGCTAGGCAGCATGAGGGAGAAGGCAGGGGGCTCTGGTGCTGGTTCTGTAGGATTGGGAAAGATTAGGGGGGAGTCAGTTGCTCACAGTCTGGAGCCAAAGTGCTAGGAGGGCTAAGCCCAGCTGGTTGCAGAGGGACGGCCAACTGGGGGGCCCAAGGGGGTCGAGCAGACAGGAAAAGTCCTCGCCCAAGAGCGGTGAAGATGAGTGGTTCCTGTACCTCTCACATGCAGATCACCTGGAGCCTAGAACAGAGGACAGAAGGTTACTATAGTCAAGAGCCCAAAAAGGGAGGAGAAAGGAGTTGAGTTGGTCAACCCTAAAAGCTGAGGTAGGAAATGGGGGAAATGGAGGGGGCAGCAAAGACAGGGGTGTGAGGTGTCTGAAGGGTCAGGGCCAAGAAGGAGAGGTATTAAAGGATGGGAGTTGAGTGGAGAAAATTGCTAGTTTATTAAGAACTTCCCTCTCTTGTGGATGGGCCAGGGTGAGAGAGAAGGTGTTGCAAAGTGGCCCCAATCCTGAAGGCAAACCTGTCCTCCATGGTGCTGGTCTCCTCTGTTGCCCCCTCACTGCTGCTACCTCCTCTTTCTTCTTCTTCTTCCTCTTCCTCCTCTCCTAAGTCCATGTCCAATTCTTGGCCAGCTTCTGATCGAGTGTATGTGGAGCCACTGTGGGAGGAGCAGGAGAGATGTGGCCTTAGGAGCCCCTTCCAGCCCTGACACCCCTTCCCCCATATATACACAGCCCAACTGGCCCCAGGAGGAGAGCGGAGAGCTGAGGGTAGAGGGTAGAGGGTAGAGGCCCTGGCTCAGACCTGATCGATCGGCAGCTGAAGAAAACGATTCGCTTGAGCCGCTTGTTGTAGAAAAAGTAGTTGAAGGACCAGAGGCTGCCATCTTCACCAAAGGGGTCAGAGTCCAGGTCAGGATTGTAGCTAGGGGGTGGGGGTGGGGTGGGACAAGGTTAGAGATCCCCATGGGTTACCTGAACATCCCCACCCCCACCTTAGACATCTTATTTGGGGTGGGGAGAGCCCCAAACAAGAGGGAAGAATGAAGACCAGGTGGCTTCAATTCATTAAGTGTCTGCTACAGGCCAGGCAACAGTATTGGGTGGGAAGCACACAAAAGACAAAATTCCTAGTTGTCAGAGAGCTTACAGTCTACTGGGGGAAATATGTACAACATTAAGTAAACATTCAATATACAAATAAGAGTAATTTCCAGGTGATGAAAATATCAACAAACTACAAGACAACTAAAGACTCCTCTGGTATAGCACATACCACCTGAAATTTGGGCCCTGAAGGATATCTAGTCCTGGAGACTAGAAGAGGCATGGGGGGGGGGGGGGTGGGGGGAGGGGTGGGGGAAGGAGGTGTTTAGTCAGACTGAAGGAAGGCACCAACACTGAAGGTGAAATCCTGACCTCAGCAAGTGCAAAGGCCCATTGTGAGAACAATGTGAAGCCAGTCTGGAAGGATGGACTGGGATCTTAATGGGAAGAAATTTAAAACGTTAAACAGTTTCTGTTTTATCTGGGAGGTGACAGTAAAGCACTCAGTCTTCCTGAGCAGGAAATGAACAGCCTGACTGGTGCTTTAAGAATGTCAGTTCTGTAGCAATGGAGAGGGAAGAAATAGGATGCAGGGAGACCAATTAGGAAGTTACTGCAATGGTCTAAGTGATGAAGACCTTGCGCTAAACTGTCACCATGGGGGTGGGGACCATATGAATGGAGTAAGGGGTTGGATAATGTTATAAAAATCAGAAAGTCTGACAACTGATTGAACCTGGGAAATGAGAGAGAGGGACAAGTTAAGGATGACTATGAGGTTGTGAACCTGGGTGACTGGAAAGATAGTAGTGACCTTGGTAGATATAGGGAAGTTACAAAAAGGAGGGGTGGGTTTGGGAGAAAAAGTATTAGTTCCATTTTGGAGATACTGAGTTTGAGATGCCAGTGGGGCATCAAGGTGGAGATGATGTCTGGAAGGCAGTTTGTGGGGAGAGATGAGGGCTGGATATGTATGTACATCTGAATCCTTGCAAGTTAATAAGTCACCCAATGTACAGAACAGGGGATCTTAACTTAGCACCTGTGAATTTGTTTTTTAAAAATATTTTGATAATTGTACTTCAATATAATTGGTTTCCTTTGTAATCCCATGTATTTTATTTTGTGCTTTCAGAAACATTCTTAGAAGAGGTCCACTGGCTTTGCCAGACTGCCAAAGGATCCAGGACCAAAAAGGTATAAACTGCAGGTATTAAAGAGAAGGTGCTCTAGGACAGAGTGAGTACATCCATGCACAGTGAGCCAGACCTGAATGATGATCCAGCAAAGGCTTCTGAGGTGTAGACAGGAGCACAAACTGCCCTAACAGTCCCCTGTACATGCTCTGACTGACTTCCAAATCCCTCTTAGATTCCCACCTGTAGATATCACACTCAGAGAGGCAAATCTCTTCATCTACTGCATTCCAGAGCTGGGGCTTCAGGGCAGTAAAGTCCTCACGAACTGCAGAGAACAGGCTGCAATTTACTGAGTTCACCACCTGGAAGGGTGTGGGGAGGAAGGAATAATGACAAGAATATTTTGGTCACCCCCAACATAAGCAACCACTCATGGCCAGAAGACAAAGATGTGGGGCAAGGGCCAGTTCTAGCTTTCCACCCATCACTAAAGCTATGCTCCCCCCGACACACAAACACACACACTGCCCAGCTCAAAAAATGATCAGCCCCACTCCCCACCCTGCTCAGGTGCCTTCCCTCTCTCACCCAGTTGAGGCTAGGCTCTCGGCTGAATTCGTGGCTCTTGGCGGTGCTGAAGTCATAATCAGGCCGGAAGGACTCATTGAGAGTGGCAATCAGATAGAAGAGGGTCTTTCGGCTGCACTTATCACTCAGTGGCCCTTCATCTTCCCCTCCCTGGCTCTTGCTCAGCCTGCCAGGGACATGGCCCTGTTATCCTTCCCCACCCCACTTCTGGAAATTCCCACCTGCCACCCCCGGATTCAGAATCCCTGGGTGCCCTTCCCCTGGAGATTGGAGAACCCATCTTTCCTATAGGACAGACCATACCTGCTGGGGCTGAGGCCAGAGGTCTGGGGGGGCGACAGAGCCTCTAGTACATGGGGCCGGCCCTCCTGGCAGAACTGCTTGAACATGTGCTTGTCGTCCCCTGCCATCTTACAGGAGTAACTCTCGATCCTGGGGGGGAGGGGGGGAGGGATCCACAGATGAGGGTGGAGAATGTAAAGAGCACAGGACTAGAAGTCAGGAAACAACCACAACAACTCATATTTCTAGAGCTTTGAAGTTTGTAAAGTTTCTCTCAATAGCCCTAAGAAGTAGGTTGTATAAGGACAAAAAGGAAACTGAGGTGCAGGGAAGTTAAATGACTTGACTAGGGCTAGAAACACAGCTAGCAACTGTCAGAGCCAGAATTTGAACCCAGATCCCTCCTGATCTCAAGTCCAGTGCACTTTCTCTTAACCAGGAGCTAGTCTCAAATCTGCTACTAATTAACATGACCCTATGAAATCATCAGACTCATCATCTTCTATACACATCTCATTTTCCTACCTTTGTTCCCATTTTTCCTTGGGGTGATCCCTAATAGTCCCTTTTTAAAGCCCAATTCAAATGGCTTCCACTCCCTTGAAGAAGTATTCCCGATTCCCCTAAATTAA